TCTGAATGTCTGAAGAAAAATTATTTTCCAGACGGCTTCCCTGCAACATTAGGATTGTAGTTTTGTCAGAGTAATAACTCAAATCGCTCAGTCAAAACTGAAAATTATAAAACAAACTATCCACAGTAGTTTTCTTTAAAAAGTAAAAGTGAAACTGGTTGACATAGGCAGGAACAAGGTTGAATCATCAAACGTACATATAAATCACCTTAATAAATGCAATTCATTTATCAAATATTTCAGTTTTTGTTACCCCTGTTTCTTTATTTTTCTTCAAAGCTGTTAATTATTTTGAATACCAAGAAACACTAAATCTTACCAGTCTAGTTTCTAGTGCAAATATCTTAGCAGACTTAGTCAAAACTAACTTACAAGTAACTTTACAGTAAGATAGGAGCTTGTTTTAAGTAAATTATTCCTTAATATTGATGAGAAAGAACTATTTCTACTGGCAGATTATTTCACTTATAACACGGGAAAAATAACCTGGCAGTGGAAATAGTACTTTTTTATATCATTATTAAAACTGATTCACGTTTTTAAAATTACAGTATTTTCTTGAAAAGTGACTTGTGAGTTAGTTTTGTCTTATTTCCAGTCTAAGATATTTCCACTATAAACTACTTGGAGAAATTTGGTGTTTTCGCAGTGTTTCCCTAAAAACGTCAAACAAAGACTAAAAACAATTCCACAAAAACATCATGGACAGCTGACTTTTAAGGCTCAAAATGAGGGTTATTGGGTAAAATGAGATTCAGCTTTTAATGTTCAACTGGGAGAGACTAATAGAGAATCATAATTCATAAGAAAATCATGAACCTTAAAAGGTTAAACAATCAAATATGAATCTCAGCAAGTGAGTTTTAAGATAAAAAAACAAAATAAATTGTTTTTCAGAATATATTTTGATGGCTTCAATCACACCTGAGTAAATTTCAGAAACCCACCGATCACGAAGAGGTAGAGCGACACATCGAACGTGCCATCTTTTTCTGCACGCCTCTTGAAACAAAGCTCCTCCCGCGGCGCTTTGTCATCGCTGCTGCTTCACAGCAAACATCCCAGAGCCCCCAGCAGAGCTCCCCAATCAAAGAAAAACAAACAGGCCATTTCGACTTCGTAAACTTGACCTGCAAACAGCATGAAGAGGCTAAAAGTCCCACATCTCCAGCTGTCTCCTGGGGTCTGTTTGTGTCTGTGTGAAGGGGCGTCCACACGTGAAGGGGCGTCCACACGTGTTAAAGAGCTCTTTCACGCCAGAGGGGGGAAGAGGCGAGCTTGTGCATGTACTTGTTTATCTATGCATAATGTGCTGGAATGACATCCTTATGTGATGGAATAAAAATTCCTTAAAACGGGGCGCGAGACCCCAAATCGGGGCTTCCGCGGCAGGAGGCCCGGGGAGGGGTTGGCAGACTGAGCTGGGGTGAGGCTGCAGGCACGGTCGGGTCACGGGTGCGGTCGGCGGGTGAAACTCAGTTCACATTACCATGCAGACACCCGGGCTAACAAAGGAGGCTCCATCTGTTCCTGTCAGCCATTACAAATCTGGTGTCACCCAGTCCACTGAAGACAACAGGCCACTGCATCTAATCAAACGGCGCAGGCTCCTCCTGTGTGTAAAAGCAGCCATCGACTTCACACTCACTCACTCACTGGTTAGGGCAACGCAGTGCGGCGAAGGCAGGCAGTCGATCACCGCAGCTCATACATCCTCCCGGTCACAAAGTCTCCATTGTGTACAGTAGACTCACATAAAATCAAATGATTAAACGTGAAAAAGAGCTGAATCAATCACCGTATCAGTCCCCGAATTAATCCTCATGGTTTTTTGTCAGGAAAAAAAAAAAAGAATTTTAATCCCAAATTGTCATCGTGCATAACTGTCGGTACAAAAATGATCTCATTAAGAACTCGTGTCATTTTTTTCCCCCACTAACACCCCCTCTTCCTCGGAAACAGACCGCCCTGCAGGAACGCCTGAGCCATTTCTTTCGGTGAACACAGGATGAACTATGAACTCCGCATGCCCTTTCAGTAAGGACACACAGCGCTCCCTGCGCCAACATGGCTGCTGCCTCTGAGCGCTAACAGACCCGCTACTGCGACGCATTTTTTAAGACAAAATGTTCCAATTAATGATCAATCCATCAGCAAAAAAAACAAAAAATAAAAACAGGAAACGTGTGCCAATTTGAGAGAAAATAAAAGAATAAGCATATTTTTCTGCGCTAGACGATTAACCATTCCTCACATTTAGCACATAATAGCATGACACTGAGCCTTAAGTATCTCACACCGCATCAACAGACGGCGCAATTTGTAGTTATCAGAATAGCCTTAAGGGAAACTTTTCAGCCTTGTATGGTTTGATTTTATTTGCTTCCCAAAGGAAATCTCTCCTTATTTACTCTGAAAATTTTAAAAAAGAAAAATGGTCATTATTGCCTCGTCTAATTGTGGTCTATCTTCACACCATCTGTTGTGATTTATTTATTTTCCAGCGAGACAAACAGTAGTTTCTCTTCCAAAGGCAGAGAAGTTCATTAAGCCGTTTCCAAATAAGGGATCAGGCTTGACTCAACCCAGCTGGCGTTAACCAACGGCATCCAGAAATCACTGGAAATATTCCTTTTCTTTTTTTTTTTTAATAAGAGGAAAATTCCTCGCACATCCAGCTTTCGCGAGACAAACAGCAGAGGTGGACACCTGAGGCCGCAGAGTCCATAATGCCCACCTGCAGCGTGTCACGTCAAGGGCTATTAGAGCCAGATATACTAAAAGTCTGAATGAGAGGGCGGCAGGTTGGAGAAAGGAAGACAGAGGGAAAGATTGATAAAAGGGAGAGGAGGGGTGGAACACACATGGCCCCTCAGGTACAGTGTTGTATTTCAAACCCGGTTGGGAAAGAATAGAAGGGCTGTGGGTCAATAAATCACTGCATTAGCCTGCAGCTACAAAGCCTCCACCATGTGTGGGCTGCCTCCCACTAGCCACACACACAAGACGCACAAAGGACAAAATCAGAAGCTGAGGGTTTGGCCACAGGAGGGAGCTCTAGGTCACCATTCAGGTCTGTGTGATCCACCAGCAGCATTTCTCCAGGTACACAAAGAGGAAGCATGGAGGAGGAGTCTCCGATGTCACCGGGCAGAGAGGTAGGAGAGGAGTTTCACACGGGGTGGTCTGCCTTTTTTCCACCCGTTCTCTCTCAATTTTTCACATTTAGAGGAAGTGCTGCAATATGCGACGATATGATCCACCTGCTCTTCCTGCGGTGAGGAGCAGCTTCAACAACAACGATAATGAACTAAAGCCGTGGAGAGGAGAGCCCTTCCTTCTTCAAATTCAATTTGTAGCTTTTCTAGTGAAAACACTTTTACACTAATTATGTAGGTTGTACCTCTATGAATTAGAAAATCCTGCTATATAATTCAATTGAAAATAACTGAGAATGTGGTATTGAAATAAAGTGTTTGTTTTGTATTTCTTATCTATCTTTTTTTTTGAGGACCAAACTCAAAATCCAGTGTACTTTCCTGTGTGTAGTGCATCATTGTGGCACATCGTGTTAAAATTTCCGATCTATGCATTTTTTTGCAGTTTTTGTCAAACTTAAATTTGTGAAATGTTCATTAAAAGTCGCTTCTAAACTGCATTTTTAAAGTTAAATCTTTTTTGAGGGGAAAAAAAAGCTATCCAAATGGACATGTCCAAATGTGAAGAAAACAACTGCAACCTAAACCTAACAACTGGTTGTGCTGCTCTTAGCAGCAGCAGCTAAAGTCAACTATATCAAAAACTGGCAGCGCCGTGGAGAAAAGCTGCTGAATTATTTACGTTCAGCAATGCTGAAGAGATTCCCAGCATGAACAGCCTGTTCAAACTGATTTCACAGCATCTCATGCAGATTTAAGACCGGGCATTGACTAGGCCGTTGTAAAGCCATTCAGAGGTAGACTTGTTGGTGAGCCTTGGATCACTGCTGCATAACTCCAGTATAACTGAGTGCATGGTCATGAACAGACAGACCTTCAGCATCTTTTAGTTACATCGATCCAACCAACTGCAGAAAATCACCTTGAAGCAGCCCCAGATCATCACACTACCACCACTATGTTTGACTCTTAGCATGAGTATGTTAATTTTACTCCAGATGAGACGGCTATCAACACCTAAAGTTCCCCTTTTGTCTCATCAGTCCACAGAATATTTTCCCAAACGCCTTGGGGATTGTAGAGATCTTTTGAAGAAACTCTCAGCTGGACCTTTGTATTCTATGTGGTCAGCATAGAATACAAAAGTCTTTGGTCTTAAAACTTTCCCATGAGGCCATTTTGACCTGTCTTTTTCTCATTATTGAAACAAACATTAACCTTAACTGGCCTCAACTGATGCCTGCATTGCTAAAGCTGTGGTTCTGGGTTCTTTTGAGACCTCCTGATTTATTCTTGGAGTAGTTTGGTTCTGGAAAGGCTCATCTGTTCCATGTTTTCTCTGTTTATTCATAACAGCTCTCACTGTAGTTCTGTGGAGACCCAAAGCCTTGAAAATAACTCTACAACCCTTTTCCCCAGGGCTAGGCGTGTACAGATGACGTTGTTTATGTATTTTACTTCTAGTTGTCAAACAGGTTTGACTGAAATGATTTCTTGGTTCTACGGGTCTGGCACTCATCACACCTGAGCGTCTGTTGTGAAACTAAACCCATGTAACAGATACTCAGAATTTAGTTTCTAAGGGATATTTCATATTACATAAAACTAATGAAAATGACTAGTGTAGTCCATTACTGCATAATATTTAAAAAAAATTTTAATTAAATTGCTTAATTAAGTTAGCTTTATGTAAACTAACTTATTCAGCTGCATGACTATTTTAGGGCCAGAATTGATTGCTACTGCTCAAATTTATTATTTTTAACTAAGATAAGAAAATAAAGGTCTTTTGAGTTCATGCCTCTCACACACCAAGACACTTAAAACGAGTCAGAACCAGACCTATTGTGGACTCACACTCTGGGACTCCATCATCCTGGTAGTCCGACACTGAGGCGTCGTCTGAAGGGGCAGAACGTCCGAGACTGGAGCTGCGGTTGTCATCAGAGCCCTCATCGTCCCTGGAGTCAACTGAGCATCGCGTGTGAAAAATAAGACAAAGCGCCATGTAGAGTAGAAACATTTTAATGATAGGGATTAACATTTTACTCACATCTTGCTGGGAATTCCTGAGGAAGCCTGAAAAAAAATTAAAGAAAAAAAACTTCAAATCAAAGGTCTGTTTTGTAAATTGTGCTTTTTATATTTTGTAAAGCACGGCAGAAGCACAACTTCAGAAATTATTGCTTCCTGTTCTGTGCCCCAAAAAGCCACAGGCTTTCTGTAACACAGCTGAAGCCTTTTCCCCTGCAGTGCAGACAACACAAGCATCCGGAGTCAGCTAGCAGAGTTCTTGCAAGAGTTTCACTTTTTGTGAAACTCGTGATGTTCCAGGAGAATGTACATTAAAGCAAAAACAAGATTCAAAGAGCAGATTAAAAACAGGAATTGTTGCATGAGCTCTTTAGCAAAAGTAAATAAGAACGGGGGGTTGATGTTGGTGTCATTAGATTAAACGAGTTCTTTCTAATTCAGACTGTATTCAAAGCAATTGCTGCCCGAGTCACAATTTTCTTTCTGCATTAACAGCAAATGTTCAGTAATGGTGCCGTGAAGTTACATCGTCACACTTCAGCGGCTCAGTGTCTGCGCCTCTAGTATTGGATAATTTCAGGATGTATAAGGCTACCTTGCATGAACGACCAGGAAGTTATTCAGCAGGACCTTCCGCGTCTCCGCGGCGCTTTCACTCAGGTCTTCATCCTCAAGGATCTCCGTCACAAACAACTCGCAGTCTGCGGAGCACAGAAACATTAGAAAAAGTGTGTAAGGAGAGCCACGTTTGGAACAACATTGGACTATTTTAAAAGTGCAACATCGTTTTTCTAAGAGAATGTTCAAAGGTAGCAGAGGCTCAGCAAAACTTGCTGCAAAGTACATTATGGGTATTTGCCTGTTTTTACATAGAGATAACAATCTGGTTAGTTGATTCAGGTCAGATGTTATTAGTCAGAGCCTTTACCTGGAGTTTAAATCAATATTACACATTTTGAATGTTCCACAGAGGTCAACACATCAATAGAAGAAGAAATTCCCAAAAAACACCACCACTTGAAAATTGGTGTTATAGACACTGCTTAATCTGACTGAGCCTGAACTATTCACTGAAGAAAGATTAATAAAAATGTTTCACTTTTGATGTGAAAGTCTTTCTGAAACATACCAAAAAGATCTGCAGCTTTAACTGCAGCAGAAAGTGGTTCTAAGTGAACAGAGAAGTGATTCAAGTGGTTCGGATACAAAAACACATCTTTCATTTGTAAAGAACTTAAAACTCTGGATTCATTTTCTTCCACTTCACAACATGATAGCAACGTGGTTCTGGTTGACATCTTGCTGAAGTTTGTTTTGGTCTTGAAACATCTTAGCTGGTCAGAGTTTCTTAATGACTATACAAGCTTCAGACTTTACTCTTATGCTTCATCAATGTGTCTTTTACACAATTATCTAACACATATTTCAGTCCAGGCAGATCTTCGTTACACAAGTACTGCATCCATTAATTTTCGGGTAATGATCAGTCTAATTTATAGCATAATCCCCAATTCTTTCCATTTTGTTTGGAATATTAATTTTAGTGTTAGATTGCTTTCCCAGTAGAGCACAAAGCCTTCCACCTCTATTGTCAACCTAGTAAAAATGTGAAAAGCCACAAAACGACTAGCATAATTTCACGCTCAAAAAAATGAAAAATGCGATCCTTATTTTAACTATATTTATCAGAAAAAAAAAAAGTTACTGTTTTAAGCCAAATCCCCACAGAGGACCGATAATTCTAGTTGTCCTAAAGAATTATTCTAAAGAGATTATATGTTTAGGGGTTCTCCTTAATTTTTCAAGTTAATCTCAGTAATAAATTACTTATTTTGTAATCTATCGCTTCTTGACTTTCTTAGATATAAATGTGATTGTAACACTTAGGCTAATTTCCCCCACCCACACTTCAAAATAGGACAAACAAGAAAATATGTCAAAAACGGTACGTGTGGTTCTTCATAAATCAAGAAACTGCTACAAGAAAAAAAAGCAACTTTTGTAAACTTGCTAGTATCTGGAGTCGGAGAAATTATTGTAAAAAAATTTAACAACTGAAACAGTGACAAACAATGCCCAATGTGAACCCCAGTTCATCTGTCCACAGGCTGCAGTGGGAAGAGTGGCTTCCCCAAGTCTCCACTGAGTTAAGGATTTTGAGCACATCGTTACCTGAGAGGCCAATATTAGCTGTACTTAGCTACGTTTCATGTTGCTTAAATAGGGGAGAAAACCAGAACCAGTTTCTTTCTCTGTTGTATTAAAACCAGCTTTGACCTGGAAAGTTGCATCACAAATACACACAAGACTCTTCTTTATGATGATGAAGTCAAACAGGTCGGTCCAGATCATTTATCTCGATTCAATTTTTTTATATCCTCCTCCCCACGTTACACAAATAAACTAACACATGCAAATGACCCCCAAGAGCACTGCTCCTGCTAGCTTGCACCACATGCAAATGTAGTGAATACCAGCTTTATGGGGACCGCTTACTGTATGTGACGGCTGAAATTGAAAGGTGAACTTGATGGTAAAACTTTGATACTGAGTCTGCTTCTGGTGAAGAAAAAGCTTCTGTCAAAGGAAGTCCCTCTCAAATTCATTGAACTCTCTTTGAACAAAACACTAAAAAAGAAAATCAAGTTGTTGTTGAAATAATTCTACCTCCTCATACTGTACTCTTCAACAATTCGATTTAAATAGAAACGAGGTTGGTGACGGAATATATTTTAACAGGAAATGAAGACGTTACCATCCAAGAGTCTCCGGATCTCGTGTGGGATTGTACCCATCCCTGGTTTTCCCGAAATGCGATGTGCACTAGTTGAATCAATACTCCTGTTCTGTCTTTCAAATCCTTGATGACTTTACCCCAAAAAGCTGCCTAGCTTCATCTAACTTCTGACATGCTGCTACAGCTCCCCCGAGGAACGACAGCCTGGTCCTGGCAGAAAGACTCAAACCATCAACTGGCACATCAGCTAACCACCTGAGTCCTCCTGCACTGAAACTAGACTTCCGTGCATGCATCTAGATTTGCACATGGGGAGGAGCAGGTGCACAGACTTCCTCTGCATTTTGGTTACCCAGAAGAGACATACGAAGGTCTGATTCATAGTGAGAAAAGGTTTCTACATTACAGCGCTGTAAAACTCTTGCCTGTTGTTTGTGATTGCTTAAGAGTAAACAGAAATATGTACATATGTGTACCTAATGGGAACTCAAAATGTAAAACTGTCTTTTAAAGACTAAATACTCAAACCAGATTTCCTGGTGGTGGTTCTGAGGAACTGCAGCGGTAAAAGCATTTTCATATTTTCCACCATTGGTTTTCTGGAAGCAAATTACAACAGGAGAAAAATACCTAATTAATAACTAGTGTTCTTTAGCAGGACAACTACCTGAAACATATAACCAGAGAAATGATCGATGGGTTGCATTAACGGACATTCGTGTGCTAGAATCAAAGCTGTACAATCTATCAAATTGCAGTTGTGTATCGTCACCTTCCTACACTGGCCTAAGACATTTTTTGCCAAAAGTGATTTTGGCAACAACAACAGCATTTTTTAATGCATAAAGATTTTTTAGGTAAAAAAATAACATCACAAAAATTATTCAGGCCATTATTTCAGGAAGGTGACTGCTACAGTAAATCTTTAATGGATGACAGTGATTGCCATGGAGTTTCAGAATGAGCTTATTATGAAATGTGGCCCATAAAAAAACAAAACAACATATTTTTAATTTAGTAGTCAGGTTCATTTAAATTAATTCAAATCTCATTGTAAAGTTCACTCCACAGAGAGTGGTGTATTTCAAGCATTCGTTTTTTCTCATTTTGATCAGGGATGTCCAAAGTGCCATTCAGGGACCATTTGCCGCATTTGAACTGATTCTGTGCAGACACTGATCGCAATTCAAAAATGTTACATATTTGGTCTGCCATTTTACATGTTTCATTCTGTTTTTTGTGTAGTTGTGTACATCCACAAACATGCAACAGTTTATCTCAAAAGCTGGCTGGTGATCACTCATTCATTCAGTAGACTACATACATCAAGCCTTCCGAATAAATGGTGACCCAAAATGAGCCTAGACAAACTGCACACAGCCACAGTCATAACTTTTAGTGGGGCTAACATTTCTGGATTTAAAATATATTTTTAATGCACATATGCATGTCTGGTTTTTTTTATATATATATTATTATTGTTATTATTGTTTCACTACCTCCAAATCATAGCCATTAAAATTAACAAACACTTTAAAATGCATCCCCTGGTGTGTCATTAATCAATAAAACAAAACGCATTGACTGACATAAATCAGCTTCTTAATGGTATTGTTAAGTTCTTGAGATGAATTGACAACACAATCAATGTGGGATTGTTTCACATATATCATGTTACTGACCTTTTCCTAGTAACTTCCTACAACCTTTGTTGACAACACTCAGTACTTTTACAGTTTGCTAATATGTAGTGGATCATTTTAATTACATTGAACTTTAACTCCCGTTGACAATTAGCAGCTCCAGCTTAAACGAGTAACGGTTTTGTCATTTTGGTTTAGTGACACCATTAGGAAACACTTTTTACCATCTCGTCACCAGTTAGAAAATAAACAGTATCTTGGCGTTATTATACTTACTTCACTCCAACTTAATTCGTCACATTTGACCTGGCAGAAGCGGATAATATCCGCTGAATTGCACTTTTATGCTAATATTAGCTGGGCGGTTAGCTAGTTAGCTTGGTTTGATTAGCTATAGTTAGCTTGTTGACTAATGACGGTAAACGACGTTCTTCTTTGAAAGCTTATATTCAGAATAAGTTGAATTGTTTTCACCTCGAGGTAGACTAAAAATACATACTATTTTTGAAAATAGATTTTTTTACATTTTTATTTCTCGACGCTCAAGTTCGTCTCCAATCCCAGCTTCCCATTCGGGAAATGGCTAAAGGGCGATTCCACCTAATTTTTCTCACGACCTTCAGCATCTTCAATTGACTGTAGTGTAAAAACTACAACACCTAGACTCTTCAAACCTGGGCTATTCGGGGTTATTCTGCTCTAAGAGAAGAGCTTTTAAAACCATGTTTGTTGATTTGTGAAACTTTTATCTGATTTGTGAAACTTCAGTAAAAGTTGAACTGACTTTGCACAACGGCACCAACAGTGTCATCTCTGTTGAGGCCAGTTCTTCCAAACAGCAAGATTGTTGCTCAAAAAGAAGAGGAGAGAAGGATAAAAGGTGCAGAGAGATATGATTCCCGCCACAGAGCAATTCCCGCCACAGAGCAAGAGCTCTCAGCAAACTTACTCGAGGGCAAGGTGTGTGGATTAAAAACCATGTGATTACCAGTTGCTGGTAATCACATTACCAGCAATGTGATTACCAGCACATTGCTGGTAATCAGCAATGTGCTGATTACCAGCAATGTGATTACTGGTGATTACCAGTTGCTGGTAATCACATGGGGTCATTGTGAAGGACCCCATGGATGGATCAGGAGAAATCGTTGACATTTGGTTGCCATTGGAGCCTTCAGAGCCCTGAGTATCGGAAGTTTAAGAGTGATTAAATATGTGGTGTTAATGTTACGCGCCGTTAAAAACTACAAATGGCCACCTGTGATGACATCATAAAAGAGCGTCAGTCTCAGGTAGTCCAGGTGACTTTATGATGAAGTCCATGCTGGAAGTTTGGTGATCCTGAATAAACCAGTGACGATGATACAGTTTGACTCTTTTCAATCATTCGACAGTTTGATCAAAGCAGGTCTTTCTTGTAAATGAGGTCTTGATCGTCAATAAGACCATTTATATAAATAAAGGTCAAATTAAAAAAAAAACATTTACAATGACAATAAAAAAGCACATTAGTTACATCACAATGTCCGTTTGCTGCATTCAAGTGCACAGGTTCTCAAAAGTTGTCAAATTGTGAAACACCGCATCACATGCAATTACTGTTACAATAAAGATAATCTTTATAGTAATAACTTTAATATCATAACAATCCTTAGTATGTCTTTGGCTGCAACACTTGTTATTTATATTAGTATAATATTAATAGTATTATTACAAAGGATAGTTAAAGTCCAGCACTTTGTATCACGTTTTAAACTGCTAGGAAATACCTTAGGTTAACCTTTATAAAATAGCATCTAAAAATGCTATTTTAATATTCATTTTACATAAACAGCTGCCAATATTTAAAAGATCAGAACCAACAAAAATGTACAGATGTTGAATAATTTTAAAGGTTTCCTGTTGTTTGTGCTACTCATAGTTTTACTGGATTAAATTTCTTCAGTTAACATTTAAAACTCTGCTGCATACATTTGGTTTGGAAAATGTTATAAGATACTTAAAGAGTTGAAAAACAACCCTACTAAAATATAAGGCATTCAATAGTGCGTTGCTAGATTTGAATTACTTGGGGAAGTAATTAAAAATACAATTAGATTTACATGTGTATTATACAGTGAATGACAATAATTTGTTTAAAGAAACAGCAGAATGGTGTATCTGAAATTTCAACATGTTTTCTCATAAGGATTAAATAGAGTTATGCAATATAGAGCTGCCTCAGATTAAATATAAGAAATAAATACCAGGATGATGTTTCTACATTAGTAAACTGTGTAACAATCCATGATTTATGATGCAATTGTTGTAAATATTGCACAGTTAAAGCTTATCTTATAAGTAAACCCAATATCTTTTCTGAGTGGGTTTAATTAATCCTGACTCCTGCGACTTAAATTTTGTGCATCCTCAAATTCAACAGAAATAAAAGTGACAGGGATGTTTCAGACGACACATAAATGCACCGCCACCAAAGTGGTTCCTCACTGCACTTGACAGGGTGTGGATTAATAGTTACGATTACTACTGGAGGCTGAACTGCAATGAATTGAGCCAGCCTGGGTTTTTAAACACACATTTGACCCTTGCAGAGGAGGCAGTGGTCGTGGAAGCAGTCCATAACAGCAGAACCGGTGGCCCAGGCTATTGTTTTATTGATCGTGTATTACTGAAACACAGGAAAGAAAGCAATCAAGTAAATAAGTCTCAATCCTTCTCTGCTGACGTTGGCAGTGTGTATCAATCACTGATGGATGCATGTAGCAAAAAAGTGATCACTTAAATAATAGTCAGTGCCTTGTAAATGTAAACATACAGCCGTTAAGCCTGTTCATTTTTATTTTATTTTTTTTTTTTTGACATCACAACCTTAAACTTTAATCTGCTAAATCCTAAATCATACGATTGCAGCTCTGTCTGTAGGCTTAGTGCTATTGTTCTGCTGGAGAATCTAGCAGGTTTTCCTGTTCACATCAAGCTGTTTTGTATGGAAGTCCAAAAATCCAGTGAATGTCTAATCGAAGCAGAGCGTATTTTTCTATGTTATCTGTATGCCCTTTATAATTTATGGCATTTCTGAGTTTTTATGGCCTTTACATTAGCCTACCTTAAATGACAGATTTGTGGAGTGCAAGACTTAATACATCAACAGACAACTTATCGAGGACGCTTCTTCATAATTAAGATAAAAATGTGATGTTTGACTTATTTTGTAGGGAGTTTTTTTTATGTAGAAGGCTGTCTCATGAAGGCCTCCTTCCTTGTCACTTCCCAACAGGAAGCCAAGGGGTCAGGGTGAGTTTGAATCGCATGTCGGGATTGTCCCCACGCTGACCTGTGCCTGACTGGCCTCACAGCAAAAAGCCCCTGTGAAGGTAAGAGGAACTGGGGTCCCCTCCCCTGGAAAAGAGGTTCCCTCCCCTTGACAGCTCCACAGAGCCCCAGCCACCTGCCTGCTGGGCTGGCCCCCACATAAGAAAAGGGAAGCTCTTTGTAATCCGACGGGGATTACACCACCCAACAATGCGCCACTGAAAGAGCGACAAAAGCCCTGTATCAAACGCTGCTGAGGGGGAGCGCGGCTGTGATCTCCCACTACTACCAACACTGACTC